GCTAAATCTCTAGATGTTTACATTTCTGCACAGATCTGTCCGTGAAAGCTTGGTTTATGCTTGACACATCTGTGAGGTCGGCGTGCCAAGTTATGTCATTTTGGTTTTCCACGCCCCCTCCACACCCCTCCTCACAGACTGAAAAAATTTGTAGCTATGCTGACGGATTCACGCAGAAAACATGACAAGTGGAAAGCAGCTCCTGCTGGCACGTGCTCGCAAAGGTACACATGCAGACACAGGCCGTGATTTAGACCCCCCCCCCACCACTCACACACACACACACCCACCAGGTTAAAAACATGTTATACAGAGTGGGAGAAAAACAGTAAAATGTTGAAAGAACTTTGAGAGGAAGGAGTCTGTGATTAGAAAGACCATCTTCTGTTCCATTATCTGCTTTTTAGAAGAGGCCCTCTCATCCAGCCTGGCAGGTGGGGGCAGCCTGAGTGAATACTTTAATAAAGTAAATGAAAATCAGATAAAAATATTATCACGGTCTTTGATAGAAAATTGATTTTTCCGACTACAAAATCTAAAGTTGCTTTAATTCCATCAGTAAGTTGAATAGAAAGGGCAGACCCATTTAAACGATGATGAAAGAGTTTTAAAACCTGTTAAATCATGTTTAGAAAAGAATGTAAAAAATATTCATACCCCTGTCACTATATACCGTATAATATTTTAGGCATTACATTAACCAAACACTTTTAATGAAGAGCAGCTTTCTGAACGCTCCCTCTGTTCTTCACCCTCATCTTTTGGAATCAGGTCAAACCTGTGGTTGAACTCCATATTATTCCCATCAAATTGAAGAAACAAGTTGTTAAAATAACAAATTGTTTAAACCATGATCTGGCAAGGGATAAAGAATCTGCATGTTAATTTTAGTTTGGTCTAATAGGAATATTTTACCAAGATTCCTGTTTTATATTGTGTTTCTAGTTCTGTTAGGTTCTTTGTGTCTTGTTGTTTAATATCTGTTTTACAGTTGTTAAATGATCTCTGTGTGTTTTATTTCGACCTGTTGTTGTTGTATCCAAGAGATTTTTGTCATCCAAACAAGTCTTAGTTTAGTTCAGGTATTAGATGTGAATCAGACGTGTAAACAGTATGGACAGAGGTCATAGAGGTGTCCTTAGAGGTTTTAGTGTTCATTTTGGGGTCTGTGTGTGTGCTCCTGTTTTAGAGTAATACTGGGGACATCTTTACAAAGTGAGAACCTTTTGGTCAGTCGTCACAAGCTATATTTGTATTTATTTACGACTACAGAGTTATTTGGGTTAGGGTGAGGTATGCACTGCTAATGCTTAGGATTATTCTCAGGGTTAGGGCACAGAAAGGGTTGAAAATGACTAAAAATCTATTAAGGTCAGTTGGAGTCCACACATGGCCCTCACTATATATAGCAAGACAAGGGTATGTGTGTGTGTGTGTGTGTGTGTGTACCTGTCTAGCCCTCAGAGTGAGGACCATTTTCCAATTTCACCATCAGATTGAGGACCAGTTGTTCCAAAGTGAGGCAATGTTGCTGGTCCTCACATGCTATTTTGCTAATGGGTACGTTTAGGGCTAAAGTGTCAATAGGGTTAAGGTGAGGTATGCATTGGCAAGGGTTATTTTTAGGGTTAGGGCACAGAAAGGGTTGAAAATGACTGAAAATAAATGGAAATCAATGGGAGTCAGCACATGGTCCTCACTACATATAGCAGAAGGTGTGTGTGTGTGTGTGTGTGTGTGTGTGTGTGTGTGTGTGTGTGTGTGTGTGTTGGTCTGCGTGTCAATAAAGCTTCACTCTAACTTTA